TATCTCATATTATTAATAAATTATTATTTTATTTAAAAAATACTAAATATAATTTAATTTTTTAGACAAATTTGTCTGGAATACAGTTTAAGAAATAATAAAAAAATTTAAGTATATAAAAAAAAAATTATTAAAAAAAATTATTATTAAATCCTTTTTTTAATGTATTTATTGTTAAGGATGTGGCAACTTAGTAAAGTAGATAAGTTGTCATACCCCCAAGTACTAAGTTGTGAGTTCAAAACCCACTGATGGCAAAATTTGGATAATCATCTATATAATATATAGACAGTATTATGGCGATAACATTCTGTTGAACAGTTGAAATAGGATACCTGTAATTATGGTCACACCAGCATGATTGGCAGGTCTAAAGCATCTGTGTAATCTATTATACAGAGGAATGCAAACTGGTACTGGATGATGCAAACCTAAAATAAGTCCTTAGGCTATGTAAATTGTAGAACTGAGAAGCCAGAGCCCACTTGGAAATTTTGAGCAAAGAGGTAACACAGATCTTCGACAATACTACTGTAAAGGCTAGACCTAGGAAATGGATACCAATGTGAAAGATTTGGGTGGACAAGAACCTTGAGTAAGAGGTATTACCAACCAGACTGCCAGATTTCAGACCAGAGAAAAAAGATATTAGGCTAGGCTCAATATACCAAGAACAGGTTACAGTCCTTCTGGGCTATCTGGATTGGAAATCAGGGTTCAAAGTAGGAGTATACTAAAAGTACTAGAGATATGCTATGAAGTCAGTACTGGGATCTGGATGAACTCTGCAAAGGTAGCCTATGTTAGTGTTCTAAAAGTGGATAAATAGTTAACAACAGGAGGCCTTTTGCACTTTATTGGCAGGTGATGTACTCTGAAATGTGTAATGATCTGGGAACTAGTACAAAAAAAGTAGGTATCATACTGTTCAAACAGTATACTGGTTAGGTATATATGAGAGGTTAGTTGGAGATTCCAATATGACAGGATGGATGATCAGAGAGTTTAAATAAATAATCTTTTAGTAGGTTATAGGTACAGCATCTAGTGTAGAACCTTAGAGTAAACTATTTAAATAGGCAACCAAAAGTTGTATATGTGACTAGCTGTACTCTTATCTCTGTAAAAATAGTTGTAATAGCTAACTCAATATAAAGTCAATAAAGTATCATCACAAGTATGGCCTTTAAAAAAAAAAAATAAAAAAAAAAATGTATTTATTGTTTTGATAAATATAAAAACATATATATTGTTTTGTTACCAAATATAATAATTAATAAATAATCCAATCAAAATTGGAGAGATGTTCTAGAAATAATAAAAATAATGATAACAGCTGTAATAATTAAGACCAATCAGCTAAGTTTATTTAAAAATTTTATATTATAAATATTATGAAATCCAATTTGTGACCTTTAGGTCCTCTCTAATCTATTCTAGTTAGAAATTAATAGATTAATTGACTATAGTATTTATTAGAAAATAAGAGGTGTAATATTACATTGGGTGTCTTAAAAGAATTTTTTTTTTTAAAAAAATATTAAAGTGAGTACTTGTAACTCAGAATTTTATTAATAGTATATTTGGCTAATAATTGCATTACAACCACAAGAAACAATTATAAAAAAAATATATAATTAATCATTTGTATAACTTTAATTATTGTTTAATTTAAGTAATCTGTTCAAAGGTTTTATACTAACTGTTATACCTGAAGCCTGCTTGTAGGTTCCCTATTTAACTACTTTAGTTTCCATATTCATCCATCTACCTTTGCCTATCAATGACTCTAACCAATACTAGTAAAAATATGTTATGAGTACTAAGTCTTTAAACCAGTTTTTTGAAATCTTTGACCTTATACTAAACCTTTTAGAATCTTTTGTATCCTATTCTTACAACTGATCTGGTATCATTATGACTAAGACCAATATTGACAGTCAAGGTGTACTATTAAATTGCTATGCTCTTATAGAATTCACTCCAATTCCAGTACTGATTTTATAAAATATCTTTAATATTTTGATATTTAATTCAAGTTCTACCAAGCTACCATTTCAGATAGTCTGAAAAGATAGATTGAAACCATATATCTCTGGTTTACATGTCTGTTAACATGTACTTTTTTTTTCAAAACCTGAAAATTTCAACAGTGGTTGGTTCATTTGATTCCTTCTCAAAGATTAACACATTTGTCTGATTTCATAAGTTCTAACTTCATTTTATAAATCTAGTCTTTACAGTAACACTATTGAAAGTTCAGGTTATCTCTCTATTCAGGTCTTTCAAGTGAACTTTTGTCTTCCTTCTTTTGGTTCTTATTATTTACATAACTATAAGGACTTATTATAGATTTGCACTACCTGATATTGGTTTGCATTCCTTCATATAATCACAGACCTTGTCCCAAAGAACAATGTCATGTGACCTACCAGTCATGCTGGTGCAACACAGGTAACAGGTATCTTATCCCAACCAATTGTAAGAAACAGTTAACCATAACACAGAAAAAATTTTCAAAGTTTCCATCAACACTGGAATTTGAACTCTGAACCTGTTACTTGGAGGTTAACAATCTTAAAAGAATATTTTTTTAATTAAGTAGCACAAATGTAGTTAGAAATCTTTAGTATAGAAATTTTCTTCTATGTACTCACAAAGTTTCTACTCTGATATTATGTAAATAAAAAAAAAAAAAAAAAAATTTATACCCTTATATAAAATATGCAAAAATATTTTTGTCACATCAGAAATTGAAACTAAAATGCAAAAAAAAAAAAAAAGAATTCGTTTTTAATATTAATATTTTATATTATGCTATGTGAAAATTATTGTCAATTAATTTATTACTAAATTTATATATGCTGAAAGCATATTGACTAGTTCTAATTCTTAAGAAACTTCATATTTGACGCGCCATCACCTCTAGTCCCTTTAGTCAAGCCATTACATATCAGAAACCAGGACAGCTTAAGAACGGTATGTTTAGTGATGGGACCATCAATGTTAACAAACGGCGATACTTAATTGTCGCATTCAATAATTTATAAAGAATCGGAATTTTTTTAATAGGTCACAGCATGTGAAAACTGAATTTTTAACATCAGTAGTCCTATCGCTATCTAGGACCAAAAAATCATATAACCAAGATTATATCAAAAATTAATATGACAGGGTGAAACTCGCGTAAATCCGCTATGCAGATCACAGGAGGGTAAAATTCGCTTTTGCATAGCTAAACGCGGATTTCACCTACGTAGCGGGTTTTACTAATTTACAGTGCGGGTTTCACCATCTCCTAATTTAATTTCTTGGTTTTCATAACATGAAACTTTAATAGACCCGGCCAACTGGCTTTTTTTTAGTTTTCAAAATTTGACCCGACCGGTTCATGAGAAATCAATTAATTAATTTTGCACTGTCTTAGCGTATTAAGTTATTCAAAAGATCAAAAATATATATACACATCTTCTAAAGCTTATTTTTTATATCTTACAAAATATTGAGAACCAAGTCTTGAAATTGGTTCTAAACCAAACTAGTTTCAACTTAGGTTTAGAACGTATTATAAAAGAAACTGATTCACGGGTTTTTAATTTGTAATATAAGGGTTTTAAAACCTAAACCAAACCTAAACCAACTTTACTATCACTAATCTTTTGGTCGTTCAATCCGACGCCTTTTAGCCATGATACGTTTAACTTCATCTTCATGAAGTCCTTCGTTTATCAACAATTCCATCTGACTAGTCTCTTCATCTTCAGGGACTCTGTATGAATATTTTAAAAAAGTTGGTTTTCCATAGTTCTCTGGTACTCGGACTCTATCCTGTATGATAAATAAAATCGATAAGAAACAAAGAAAGTACACAAAAAAATATTACATCATAATATTACATACTCTTTGTCGCAGACGTTTCATATTCCATCTGACTGCAAAAGGAACATAGACCATTACTTTTTCTTTTGTTTCATCTTCGTCAATGCAACGTTCTATTAACAAAAGTTGTGAATTCTTTGGAATCTGATTCTTATCTGTAATATAATCTCTAACCCACTTATAATTGTATTCCTTTAGGATATTGACATAATCAATAATCAATAAACGACAAAACGAATGTAAAAAAAAAATCAAATTTAAAAAAAATTATACGAACTCCTTCGCAATCATCAAATGATTTAAGATTTGATAATCTTTCTGCAGTTTCTGAAGATGGAACATATAACATCAAGAACTTTTCATCACCAGATACTACTGGATTGATTAATGCTTTACAAACTCGTTGTGGTCGATTTTTTCCACGATCCTAAAAATAATTATTAAATATTTGGAAGATAATTTTATGTGAAAAAGAAATATATTGAAAAACACAAACTCACTTCATCTTCATTCAAGGGAAGTCCTTCCCAAGGATCATTATCAAAACTGGCCTGTACAACCACGATATGTTGATATTCAAATTCTGGTAATATAGAAAGAATTTCTTCTGGTTTTGCTTTCGGATTTTTAGGATGTTCAAGTTTCTTAAGAAATTCAGGATCATTTGCAATTCTAAAGGATTCCTCAATTGCAGCAATCTGTTCTTCATGACTTTGTTCTAAATCCATCTGACTGACTTTTAAAGTGGCCATACTATAGAATTTTTTTAATCGAGATCATTTATATTAATACAGGAATATAATAAAAAAAAAATAAAATATGGATACATACCGACTTTCCATGGTTTTGTCAGTATTATCACCCCGATATACAGTTTCAGATGCACTTATATACTGCGTTCTACGCAGCCATGGCTTCGGTCTATTTGAATGTCTTTTAAGCTGCGCTAATCCCTTAATTACGTTTGCATGATCTTTGGGAGGAACAACTAGGCAAGTATCTTTAGAATCGAGTTGAGTTGTTTTCCTGGGATTTATGTCTGCCAATCAAAATAAAAACTAATGTAGAACTAATAATTTAAGAGTATATGACAGAAATTTCAACGAACCATTATCATCTCCTTGAAATGCACTAGGAACAAAACTTAAATCATATGTCATCCCTAGATCGGTATCACTAAGTAGAGAAAGACGTTTTGTTTGAAAAGTACGTGAAGTCCGATTGATATTGGTTATTCTATCTAGATCTGGTTTCCATTTCAGATCCAACGGAGGATCAATTGGATGAGGAATTAAGTGTCGATATTTCAACCCGCATAAATAGCTATAATCCGAGCGTACTTTTCTGTTTTGAACATTATGACTTTGAGATAATAATAAAAAAGAGCAGGTTAACTAAAAGATATAAACCATGTAAGCAAACCACAATTTTAGCTGTAGTTACTTAGGTCTTGCAGACATTGATCTAACTTTGAAAAAGGAATTTGGTGATATAAAAAGTCATGACTCAACTCAAAGGTCTATTTTAATGACTGTCTTCAAATGTGATTGGCTGATGTCCAATTATAGGGTTCGGGAAATTACTGTCTGACGATCTAAGCTCTATCACATGTGTGAAACCTAGTCAATTATAATAAAGTTTTGAATTACACGATTTTTATAACCACACGAATGATTACGTAAATGTTTTACAATGTATAAATAAAGAATTCTGTAAGTGGAAGTTTGTTATGCTTAGCAAATAGCTGTACAACGACCTTTGAAAGTATAACACGGTCACACTAAAAATGACAATAAGAGTAGCCTCTTTAGCCATGTTTTTTCTTATATCTTTAGAAATAAATTTGAGCAAAAATTGAAGGCACTGCTATTACGTATACGTATCGATAATTTGTGTTACAGTATGTTTTTTGAAATACTTTCGTGAAGTCACTGAACATTAATTAACACCCTTGGATAGCTGTGGTTTTGTATACGTCGCTTCGTTTTTTGTGTTAGGTTTTTGTTATTTCTGGTTAAGATGGTCGACGAGCATCACATTTGTTTGCTGTATTTTTTATCTTATTATTGATCATGATCATACCTTGCCACTCCATTCCATTCCGCTTTGGATAGAGGTCTTATTTATACTGTAAAGGTTTGTTATGCTGATTTTTTCTGACCGACTTTTTTGTGGTTTGGTTGATCTGGCTTTGTTGTATTTCCTGTGTCGATTAGTATCAATTGTGCCTGAACGCTACTGATTATCTTTGAAATTATCCTCTTTTTTATTTACTGCTATGTGTTCGTTTATTAGTGCATTATGATAAGTTATTTGTTAGGATGAGTAATTTGTGTCGATATGTTTTATTTCCTTACCATTACTCTGATGCTCCATGAATTAACGATTTTGTTTTAATAAAAATCTTGTTGATCTATAATGAATGTTTGCTTATTTATGCTCATTATTGGGCTCTGATGTCGAAATTTTCTCTGCATGATTCGCATTAGTAAGAATTTGTCTTGCGTTTGTTATACCTGTTCACGATCTCAATGCTTGCAGAAACAACTGACTTTTTTACATTATTAATACTAAAACCACATCCCAAAAGGAGTCCATTAAATTCCTCTTATAAACCCACATATCAGAAAATCACCCTTTTTTAAAACCAAATTATATTTTTCAACAATCTATTAATCAACTTTATATAACCATATTTTCATAATAAGCATATACTTTCTCTTTTATAAAACTTATCATCACACAATGGTTCATAAATTTTTTATTTAAATTTTTACAATAAATTAAAATAAACATCAATGATAATACTGTTAACTTCTGTAATTCGATATCATGCAACAATTAACAATAATGTAACGCTAATACCAGGAATACTAAAAGTGCTAATAGTGTTAAAAGTGCTAACAGCGCTGATAGCATTAATAGAAATAGTAATGCTACATAGTATAAGTTGGAACCAGTTTTAATAATTCGGGTTCATCACATGAATTTGTGATATTTTAGAATTTATTAAAATTTAATTGGATAAATTTCTAAAATATCACAAAATTCACGTGATTAACCCGAATTATTAAAACCGGTTCCAACCTCTACTACATGTGCTGTAAAATTAATAGCTTTAAATAGTATAGGAAATGCTTGGTAAAGCTAAATCGTACAAAAATGTACTAATAGGAAGATAGCAAAAGATCATAATGATTTGAAATGTATAATCTCGACTATTGCTCTTGTAAAAAAAAAAAACCAATTCTAAACAACTTAGCGAAATAATAATGGGGTAACCATGTCTGCACGAACAATTATGAATAAACTAGTTATAGTGTCTTCATACACAAATAACTTGTTCATGATATCAATATATAAAATATCGTGTAACGTTCGTGCATAATCAGATGATGTATTAAATTAAATTATATAACCGATAAGTTTCTGAATCTGCATTATTTCCCACATCAAATTCTGGCATTCACGACATGACAACTTCAACAAAAAAATTTAGTAGTTTTCTTCCTAATGAAACCGATAAAATTAAACATTCTATTGCTGGTGCGGTTGCTGGCTGTGTCAGTTCTATTGTAACATGTCCGTTGGATGTAGTCAAGACAAGGTTACAGAATCAGGGCAAAGTTACTAATGATCAAAGGTTACCCCCGTATCGTGGCACTGGAAGTACAGTTGTTTGAATTCTTCGATTAAAATAAATTTGAATTAGTTATGCAATTAATTAAATTAATTAAATTAATTGATTAATTGATTTGACTTTTAAATATAGGAACTCTAAAACGTATATGGGCAGAAGAAGGAATTCGGGGACTATATCGTGGTCTTGGACCAACGTTATACGGTTATCTCCCTACATGGGCTATTTATTTCAGCGCATATGATTATTTCAAATCTGCTTTAGGAGAACAAACAGGTAAAATAAATTCATGAAATTATTTATACATGTGCGTACTAGTTGAGATCGCTATAAATTTATCTCGTATTTGATGATATATATAGTTTGTATTATTACATGATCAAGGTAAAAAAAGAGAGGATTATTTTCGTGATTTTTTTCGCGTAAAATTTTTGGGCAACCAAAAGATTATTTCCTTGTGGAAATTATCGTAGCATCCTAAATTCCTTACTGTTTTCTTAAATATAAAAATGTACGCGAATATTGATTAATTTATCAAAACATTATTATTACTATTATTTTATTATTATTATCATTATCATTATCATTATTATTATTATTATTATTATTATTATTACTATTACTATTATTACTATTACTATTATTACTATTATTATTACTATTACGATTATTATTACTATTACGATTATTATTCTTTATTTTTTATATTTATGATTATTCCAATTATTTTTTATTGTACAAAGTGGACTTTTAAAACTGATGAGAAATATTATTATCAACTTGTTCTTGAAACCAATTTTGCGCTAGGGCGAACCGCGGATCACCGATGGGTAGTGCATATATTCGCGGCCATGGGCGCAGGTGCCACGAGTACTATAGTCACTAATCCATTGTGGGTGATAAAAACACGGTTCATGGTATTTGTCGATAACCAGCATATTGTCAATTTTCTACCCAACCGGCATCTTCTCTATTGGTCATTGCTAGTTGTTTAACACAAATTAATGGATGGAAAACTTTTCTTCTTTTTTAAAAAAAAAATACTGTTATAGACGCAGAATGAATCAACATCATACATGTACAGGAATACATTTCACGCTTTTTCTACCATATACGAGCAAGAAGGTTTCAAAGGCTTTTATAAAGGCCTTGGTCCTTCGTTAATGGGTGTAAGTCATGTAGCTGTACAGTTTCCTTTATATGAAAAGATGAAAGTTTGGTTAAGTATGTCTTCTTTATTATCTTCTTTAGTTGATTTGTTTGTGATTTTTTATTTTTTTTTTATTTTTTTGGTTAGATGCCAATTTTTCATACATTTCATTTTCATAGAATCACCAGATAAAGATTTGTCCAATTTATCAATTTTATTTGCGTCATCCGTCTCAAAAATGGCAGCATCTATAGCAACATATCCACACGAAGTAGTTCGTACAAGGTTGCAAAACCAAACTTGTAAGCCATTTAAATATCTAGGAATATGGCATGCAGTTAAGGTAATAAGACATGAAGAAGGGTTTTTGGCCTTTTATAAAGGAATGTCAACCAATCTTTTAAGAACTGTACCTGCAAGTGCGTTAACTATTTTAACATATGAGGTTTTGGTTAGAAAGTTAAATGCGAACTCTGATAAAGGCGGCTAATCATGCATTTAGCATGACGTGTTGTCAAGTGTTAGAAACGAGAACATTTCAAAGGAATTATGTGAATGTACAAACTTTTCAGTACATGCTCATATAACATTTGTGGGTAACGAAATGCATGGACAACATATTTATGCAGATAATTAAGATTTATCGACGATATAATAAATTTAAATATAATGACAATCTTAAAGTTTTTATTCTTGTAATCTGCTTTTTAACATGAATAAATCATCAATTTGTCTGGATGGATTGAAATTATCACCAAAAATTCTCGTGAATATCTATTTGTTATTAAGAAAATCACTTGTATTTAAACATTATACTATATAATCATATGCAGAAAGTGATTATATAGAGGTGTGGGATTTTTCTACATAGTCGGAGAACGGGTCTTATTTAAAATTAGGCCAACTCAAAACTGGTCCGCCTCAGCCTGCAAATGGCTTTTCATCATTCATGGTTGGAACTGGATTTATTATCGTTATATAACGATAACCCTTGAAATTAAATCCAATATTAGTAATCAATAATAAATATTGATAAACAAATATCTGATCCTATGGCCGATCTTCGGGTGATGCACCCTACGACCAGGTTTAAGTCCCTCATAGAGTTTTGAACCGGTTTTATTGTTCTTATGTTAAATCCGATTAAAACCGGATTTAACATAAGGAAAATAAAACTGGTTCCAAACACTAGTCACGTCAGATCCCCAAAAGGAGGATAGGTACTTCAACAGGACGTTGCGAGCCCCGTTAAAATCACGATCCAACGGAAAAAATATATTTCTTTAGATTCTTATTTCGCCACCCACATCATCCACACGTTTGTGAAGTATATGATTCCTCACATATAATCGCATTCTTATCAAAATATTCGCGAGATTTATACAACAAAAATTGCTTGAACTCGTAATGTCGCCAGGTGGACATTGATCTCACCACCTCTCTAAAAAGCAACGAGTATGTTAAAGATATTAAAGAAGTCTTTAAAATAAGGAACTTATGAATTGAGATAGACTTTAACTGTGAGTATTAAGGCAATACAAAAAATCAGTAAGAAGGAAAGTAACTGGATCCAATTTTTCTTTTCGTTCTGTTGACCATTTGTGAAGTGTCAAAACTCGGTAGCAGAATGGTTTCGTACCGCTCGAGCAACCATAACGCGAACTTTTGATGCAATTCGGACACCAGATTTCGAATTTTTTGAAACGTTTTCAAAATCTTTCATCTTAATTTGTTTCTGGTTCGTTTATATTGCCGTCCGACTTTTTTCGCTACTTCAGATTTGAACCTATCACACTTTTTGGATAACCTTACAATCCGATTAAAATCTATGCAGTACATAGTAGCATTTAGACTAGGTTCCGTGATTAGTAAATTATACATTTTTCAACGATGATATTATTTCCAAGTCGTCTGAACTTCTTTAGCCAAAAAAAAATCGGCCAAAATCATTTAAACCAAATTAGGCAATGGTTAATGATTTGAAATACGAAAAAATATGGATGGAAATACTGTATATTCTATTGGTAATAATATCGTGTACGTAGTCATTGTTTAGAAGCACAAAGACCGGGACCGGACTATAAAAAAACCGAAGACCGAGTTATTTCAATCTCTGGTTCAGAATCGTCCTGTCCTAACCTGACTATAGTCCAACAATAAATAAGATTTAAAGATAAAGAAAATAAATAATAATAAAAAATTCTCATAATTCTTCCAATCATGAACGATATACAATCAAATAGTCTACGAAATGAACTAGAGAAATATCTGTTATTATTATTGGAAGTTCCGTTTGTGTGTGGCAGGCGCAGAAAGAATACGTGATTATTTTGGCTATACAAGCTTCGAAACAAGCATTCTCCATAGCGAGTCTCAATATTTCAACCAGAAATAGATTAGATGATGAATCCACGAGGGTTTAAAAAGTTGGCTTCAAAAAGGAATTTATAAATTAAATACTGTCAAATCAATATTCACAATATATATTCATACGCATTTATATATATGCTACATATACTTTATTACTTTTTAAGTCGTGAAACCGATTCTAGAACCGAAAAAGGGACCGACCGGACTAATAAATACTACGTATAAAATCGACTGATCCATGAAAGAATTGATATAAAAACTGTTACGTACAGTTTATATTGTAACTAATTACAGCAAAGATTAATCAGATCACATCAAATTTATAGTTTAAGTAGATTCTCAACACAATTGTGATACTACATACTCGTTGAAGTATAGGCATCTAATTTTGAACACAGGACTTGTTCGGGAGAGAATTTAAACATAAGTAACTTTTTTACTTTCCAAGTCTAAACATTTCTTTACATCTCTTTAGATAGATTTTTTTGGTTGCTACCAAACCATTTTATGAGGATATTCCAGCTGCGGTGCCCCTGGAAATATTTGGTTTAACTTAGCATTACATATCGATATACTAACATCGGCAAATTTAAGCGTATCATATAATAACACGCAAACAGCAAATAAACGTCCGAAACAATATTCCATTTTTCAAGTCTAGACTGGATCTTTGAATCTGAATCACCCCAGCCAGACTTATAAATAAAAAAGATTGATAGAAAATACGTGATTCAGTATTGAATGATCATTACCCAATAAATAATCTCGGAAAATTCTTGATTGGTTTGATTGGAAAAGCCTCCAAATCTGATTTCTGATAATCAAAGAAATTTCGTGTATTTCATATTATAATTATTATTATTATATAAGAAATGATTTAAAGTTATTATCCCCCCAATCACCATAAAATTTGTCTTTTTTTTATTTATTATTATAAATTTTTTTCATTTCCAAATATTTATTATTAAAAAATTACCAAGGTAAAGTATAAGTGATAAAACGTGTCCTGATTTCGATTAATTTGAAAACAGTTACGCGATTTATACTTTATTTTTAGCGAATATCTACTCTCTCACCATGTACGATCCAATAGTACTAAGATATATTTATCTCATTCCTGACTAAGATGAAAGATACTGGTGTTAAACTTACTAAGTGGGCTTCTATAGCCAATGCACCGTTTCCTGCCGAAGGTGCTGGCAACCAAACTTTCAGCATGTATCACTTGGTTGCTACTGTTATTGGTGTCCCGCTCTTTCTTGCCTATTATTTTCGCTTAGGTTTTTGGATCTGGCTCATTTTCCTCTTTATTCCGCTTGGTGGTGTTATTTACCTAGCATTCGTATACCTTCTTTCTAAATATGCTTCTCCTTACAACAACAAGGTTCGACTTCCGGAAAGGAATATCGAAGAGTATATTACTATGAAGGACGCTTCTCTGGCAGGATATGTTGGTCGTAATAAAATTCCAATGGAAATTTTTTTTGAAAATTATTTTGATGAAAAAATCGATCTTTGTGGTGATGCTTTAGAAATTCTTGAAGCCCGTCACGATTGGGCTTCTTTTGAGTTTGCTTTGGGTCAAGCAAAATTTTTATTAACTCAATGGATTCCTGAGACAATAATGCATACTAAAAAACAAGATGAAGATCAAGTACGTGATCATTATGATCGTGGTGACGATTTTTACGCTGCATTTTTAGGTTCAAGTATGGTTTATACCTCCGGAATTATTTCGGACCCAAGTAAAAATGAAACACTCGAAGAACTTCAAGACAATAAACTTAAACTTGTTTGTGAAAAAATTAATCTCAAAGCAGGTGAACGACTTTTGGATATTGGTTGCGGTTGGGGTACTCTTGTAGCATACGCTGCCAAGAATTATGATGTGGATGCCACGGGAATTACACTTGGTCGTAACCAAACTGAATTTGGAAACAATCGTATTAAGGAATATGGTATTGATGATAAACAAGCTCGTATAATTTGTATGGATTATCGTGACATTCCAAGGCGTCCAAAATATGATAAAATTACTTGCCTTGAAATGGCTGAACACGTTGGTGTTAGGCTTTTTGCTTCATTTCTATCTCAAGTAAGAGATATGCTCGAAGACGACGGTTTATTCTTTTTACAAATAGCAGGTCTTCGTCGGTAAGTCACCTATGACTATTTATAATTATTTATTATATTAATGATTATTTATGGAATTTAAATTCATTAATACGGGTATGAATTTATTCACTTTTATTTGTAGCACATGGCAATATGAAGATTTAATATGGGGTTTATTTATGGCAAAATACATCTTTCCTGGTGCAGATGCCTCTTGCCCATTGGGGTGGGTCATTAATCAATTGGAATGCGCTGGATTTGAAATTCAAACTGTTGACACCATTGGTGTACATTATTCTGGCACCATATTTCGTTGGTATAATAACTGGTTAAAGAATAAAGATACTATCATTAATAAATATGGAAAAAGGTTTGTACCACTATCCTTTTTAGAGATTGTACCCGGGTAACCATTTGTTTATATGGCTATGAATAAATTACTGGATAACCAGGTAATTTAATAATACCCGGGTAGAAATTTTCTTGACAGGTACAATCTCTAAATCCTTTGTTATTTTCAAGACTTAAAATTCTAACAACCTATCTTCTTTATTTAGGTGGTTCCGGTATGTGTCGTACATAAGCTCACGATTATAAATTGCTTTTCTTACTAACTTTCATTCTAACACAATAAATAGAATCTGGGAAATCTTTTTGGCATGGTCTACTATAATTTCTCGACAAGGTAGTGCAACTTGTTATCAGATTACTGCTCATAAAAATTTGAATGCATTTGATCGTGCTGGATTGATTTCTAGAAGACTAAAGGCTTAAGACCAATGATATTTGGATGTTGTTAGTTTCGTTTTTTTGACTTTAAATAGTTAATTATACGCAACATTGAAGCTAATAAAGTTAATAAGCTAAAGTGCCATTTTGTCCTTTTTTTTTTTTTAATGTTTTAAGGTCTATTTTAAAATTAAGTCAATCATGATCCCGACATTCAAAATTAATGATTTTTGATTGTCAATCATTAGTCTAATTATTAAATACGTCGGAGTGACCTAGAAATTTTAACGGGACTAGTAGATTTGCTACCTAACACTCGTGGTCATGTGTCTAAAAAGTATCCAATCAAAATGCAGAAAGCAGACACACACCATTTAGTAATATAAATTGTTAAATATTGTTTTTAGCTTTTGTTTCTAAAAAATTATTGTTCATGCCTTTTATATTTTGTTTTAAATGTCAGATATTTTAACTATTTAGCTAAATTTAAGAGTTTTTATTGTTATTTTATTAATTTATAGGATTGTTTTTTTTTTAAGTTTGATTAAATAGTTTTGCTATATCTGATTTTAAAATGGATTAATATTAAATTTTGAGGTTTAATTTATTAAATTTAATATATAACATTAAAAAACTTATTACTACTGGTAATTAACACTACTAATATCAAATATCGAATACTAAAAAATAGTTTACTTGGTGAATTTTACTTTTGGTAAACATTAAAAACATCCATAGTATTAACATGTAATATGATTTAAAATTAATAAATATACTTACAGTATGTGTATAACTTAGTGTGCTTTAGATAAATTTTAGTATCTCAAAATTTTAAAAAATTTCAGAGTTTAATCAAATGCGTATTATTTTTATTCAAAACTTTAAGATTTTATTAAAAAAATTTTTATTGGATTTTATTAACTTACCTCTATATAATAGACATCAAGCCTTAACACCAAAAAAAAAAAATAATAATAAGCATCAAGATATGGATCATCATATTATGATTATTAAATTAATAAAAACATTAATTTTTATATAATAATTTTTACTATTGTTATGTTGAAACAAGTATTAATTAGCCAATCACATCGTAAGCTATCTCGGACCAGAAACCTAGATCTACGTTAAGGACCCCTCTCATCGCTAATACCATATTTCATTCGCACATGATTTATTCGATATTCCATTCCTTGTATTTCATTCTGCAGTAAACCTTGCAAAATATTCAGCTTTTGCTGATTAGCCCTATAATTCAGTTAATTAAGTTTTTACTATAGTTAAGTTCTGATTAAAAGAGAATTTTTAAAATGAACTTACACATCATATCTTGACCGTAATTGAAGAAGGGATTCCTGTAACTCTTCTTCCAGTTCTGCCCCTATTATTAATTATATATTTTAATTTTACAACTTTCAGAATAATATTCGAAAATTTGTTCAAAAATTCTTACCAATTGTTTTCACTGCCTCAGCAAATTTTGCCGTATTTTCTTCTAATATTTTTCTTGATGCTTTTAGTCCTTCTTGATCACGCTCCAAACTTTCACGTTTCGTTTCTAAAAATTTTGTTCGTTCATCACGAGTCGACTGAAGATCCTTTATCCTATTAGCTAAACGGCCTGCTGATTTAAAGTCCCGTCCTGTATTAAGTTTAGGAAGTCTGTTATATCAAATAGATAATTATACGGATCACTTGTAGTGTAGAAGACCTCACTTTATAATCAATTAATTAATGATATATTTATCGAAGGGTCGCCTATACTGCAAGAGGTCCTATTGAACAAAACTCAAAAGTACTAAAAGCAAAACTATATATAGAATACCTGCAACAGCCAACTTTTTTTGTTCTTCCAAAGCTGGTATTTGAGTATCTATCGTTGATATGTCCTGTTTAATATTCGAATAAGTTTGTTGATCGTGCATCACTTTTGAGGTTAGTCGCTTAACTTCTGTATCACTTTCTTCCATTTGTAGCCGTATACTAAATAAATATGGTTTAATTCAACTATTCAACTTTGAAAAAAAAATTTTTTTGAATGCCCTTTTACACTCACTCGAAAATTTCTTTTTCACAATCGTTATCCCTCTGACTACGATCCTTTAAATGTTCTATCAGCTTCTCAACTTCGATAGCTTCTTCACGATATGACTTAGCCATCAATCTAATTGCGCTAATACGTTGCTCTAATGATTCCAATTGCTCTTGTGATGTTTCTTGCCCCTTGCGATAATGTTCAAGTCTTTGGTGTAAATAAGTTTCCGTTTCTTCTATATATCTCTTTACGTTCGAAATATATTTTTTAAGTAACAACTATTTGCAAAATGACAAAGTATAAGGTACATACCGTTTTATTATCAATCTCTTGTTTTCTTCTGTCCAATTCATTTTTTTCTCTGGAATTTTCATCTCGTTCCTCATTAAATTCGTTAGTAATGCTTTCAATTTGTAAATCAATATCTGTGATTTGTCTCGTGTAACTTTCTTCTTCTGTCCTAAGTTTTTCAAGACGCTGTAAAAGCTCTGCTATTTGAGTCTATAAGAGAGTGTAATATTATTTTAAAGGTAATATCTACATTTTTAACATTTTTATTAAACTCATACGCAATAATTTACCTGAACGTTTTCACGCTTCTTTAACAGTGATTCACGTTCCAATTTTTCATCACGAACACGTTCTTCTATTCTTTCGTTCATATCAGCTATACCTTTATTCCAGATATCTAATCCGAAGACAATTTCACTATAAGACGTTTTATTATTATTATTTATTATTATCACTATTGTTATATGTTATTATTATTATTATTGCAATATTTTTAGATAAAAATAAAACCTATTCTCTTTATCAATTTCTTTTCGCATTTCGTTAATTTGTTTTGTCTCAATATTACGTAAATTCTCCATATCTACAGCATATTGTTTACAGGAATCCTCCTCTTCTCTCTTTTAAAAATAAGAATTCAGTCTAGAATGAATAAAATTATTCATAAGATTTGCTCATATAACTTACCTTTTTTTTTACAAGTTCTTTTTCCAAAGTCTTGCTTGTTTCAGCTTGACTTTTTAGATATTTAGCTTGCTTTTCTCTCAATTCATTTAAAGTTTGTTCTATTCCGGGTAATACACCACAAAAAGTTTTGATTTTACTATTTAATTCCTGTATATCACGAGTAACCTTATCTGCTTGAACATAATCTTCATTTGCTAATGCATTCGCTTGATCAGTTTCTAATGTTTTCATTGTTTTCCATAACTACAAATAAAGATCATTATAAGAAATTTTCAAAACTTCTAGAAGTCAACAGATGAGATTCTTTTCATACCTCCACCAATTGTCCATGAATTTTATTTCGCTTTTGAAAAACTGTAAGTTGAACATCGACTAGTTGTTTCAATTCGTTCTCCAATCTTTTAAGTTCTAATTCCGTATTTTCCGTTCTTAATCTTGCAGAAGATGGCGGCGAATTTAATAAGGAAAAGCTAGGTGTTTCATTATTTACAGGCATTGTGACAGAGTGATCTATATTAATGCCAAATTCTTCAAGTGAAACTTTGTTATTCTTGGACGTGATACGGTTCGCTTTTGCCGAATTCTGTAAAGTGAACGATTGACGTTTTGACTGTAATTGTAATGATTGAGAATTTCCATTATTTGGAACTACAAAAACCGTCTGATCGGCTAAAGACGAAACTCGGGTGTGTATTAATGAACGACGCTCATGAGTGGATTTTGCTGTCTTTACATTCAAATCTGCAAACAAATCGTCCGAATCTTGAGAAAAAAATTATGAAAAGGTTAAATCTAATAAAAACTGACATAAAAAAAGTTGCTCTCAGTGAGAATGAAAACCTGAATTGCTCATGTTAAAATGATAATATGTATTTTTCAATTAGCAAACTTTTATGAAATAAATAATGCTTGTGACTTAGAGAAAAATATTTGGCCATTCCCTTAGGTTCAAGCCTGTCCAAAAAAATTTAAGGTCGAATCTAAAACCTGAAATTTTTCTGATTGGTTAGAACTATCCAACCAATCAAAGTATTGATACTGCGTCCTATAAAATGAAAGTCTAATAATATGAAGGATTATTAATTAAAACAGCCCTTTTTACATGTAAATCATTTTTTTTTTTTTTTTTTTTTTTTTTAAAAAAAAAGCGAGGTCTTGCCTCAGTTACTTTATTGAATTTTAATATATGTAGTACATCGATAATTACATGTAGTAATATATTACTTCTAATAAAACTAAAACTTAGGTTGCTTTATTTATAACTCATATATACTATGCTAAGCAGAGTCAAAAACTTAGTCTATGATATTGTTGAAGATGGTTGGAAGAGTATTGTGTTTTTGGAATAGTAGAACCCATTTATTGATTCACTAATCAAGCAAACAAAAAAGAAAATACAAGAAGTCTTTAGAGTCTTTACTAAACTTTGTTTAAAAAAAGAAGAAATACCAACTAAATAAAAAATTGCACAAGTCTATCTAATACCAAAGAATGTAAAGTAAAGGTATAACTTAAATAATATTTGATTAATAGCACTAATTGAAACATTTAGAAAATTGATAACAAAGATAATAACAAAAGTTTATCAAAGTGTTTATAAAAAAAGAAATGCTTAAAGAATCAAATTATACAGGTCTACTAGAAAATTTAATAGAGCAGTCAGTATATATCCTAAATATAATAATGAAAAAAACAAAAAAAAACAAAAAAAATATAGATACTTTTGCAAGATATGAAAAAAATGATAAAATATATTTTAAATCTTTTTTATAAAAGACAATTAAAAATAATTACAGTTTATAGTTTAACAAAAAAAGTAATAATAAGAGATAGAATAATCAAAATGAAGTAATATTATCATTAATATAATACTTTTTTTATGATTATTATTAAAAAAAATATAGGAAAATAAAATATTAGAGTATATAGTTGAACAGCAAATTAAAGAAAAAATGTAATATAATAATATTATAAGATAGTGCCAAGTAGCAATTGTATATGCAGATGATACAACATAGATTATAAACAGCAAAAGTTAGTTATTAGAAATTCTAAAAATAATTAAGAAGTTTTTTAAGATAAATAATATAAAAATAAATAGATCAAAATCAAAATTACTAATAATAAATACAAATGTCAAGAAAGAAGAAAAAAAAATAGTTTTTGAAAAAAGCAAAATAATAGAAAAATTAAAAAACAAAATAGTTTGTTCATTAGAAATATGGTTGAATAACAAAATATGAGAAATATTAGTTAAAAGAAAAGCTAAAAAAATAATTAGTCAGACAATAAAAGACCTTAAATACAAAAAAATAACAATAAGCAAGATTATATATATAAACAATATAATAATAATTCTAAAGCTAAGCTATAGGGGTGTGGCGACCTAGTGAAGTGGTCAGGTTGTCAACCCCCAAGTGGCAGGTCCAGAGTTCAAATCCTAGTGTCGACGGAAAATTT